CTGGCCTAAGTTTCACTTTAGTTTTATTACAATAATTGGGACAAGCTAGGCACAGTTTAACCTCATGATATCAGCAGGGCTAAAATCTAGCACAATCTATTCTATATGCTATCTAGTGTAATCAGCAAACTAACTGTACACTCCAACCTAGGTTTGAGTCAAATATTGCCCAAGATCATGGCTATCACAACATTTACATGTGATTCAATTCAGATGGAATAAGATGAAAAAATAAAAATATTGCAGAATATGGAGATTCTCAGTAATCCAAGTCATGGTTGTCCCAAAGGTACTTTTTCCCCCAAGAGCTGAAGAAGCTTCTTGGATAAGAAGCGGGGGGAAATTTAAAAAGTCCAATTGCCTCTTCAAAAAAAGCACCTTTGGGACTGTACAGTATTTGATTTTCTGTTCCTAGCATGGAGGGGAAAAGGAGGGAAGGACACTGGCTAACATATCCAGGCAAACTATGGTTTATTAAATACCAACATATTCTTTAATTCTGTATAGCACATTAATTTAATTTGACCTACTCTAAGCATCACAGGTTCAGTTCTTTTACAGTAGAGGTCCCGAACCCCCCAGGTGATTAATGAGTTCTGGTCGGCGGCCTGTTGGGAACTAGAGCTGTGCAAGCGGCAGGCAAGTGCAAAAAGCTTTATTTGCACATGTGCAGGATTAGGTTGCACATGTGCAATCATCCTGTCTCCCGCTATTTTACGGAGTATACAGTAGCTAGTAGGATATTTTTAAAAACTGAAGGAAAGAAGCATCCAACTAAGATATAGAAATGCAGTGGGATTTTTATCTTATTCTGGGGGTTTTATATTGATCAGAGATAGTACTAGATTCTGGTTACTACTTGAAGTAAAAAAAAACAACCCAACCCTTTGTTTTCTCCTTTTACAGAGATGTATTTTTTGCCATTTGTTTAAGGAACTGAATTCCTGAACATTTATGAAAAGAAATTTTGAATAATTAGTTTGTTCCACTGAAGTCTTAAGTATTACCGGTATTAAATACTTTGAACACTACAGCACCAAGATACCAAAACCTTTATTACATCATTTTTGTTCTATTTTCACAAATCCATATCCTCATCACTAAATGTTTGAGAAGGCTTTTCAAACTGTAAAATATAAAACTGTAAAAAGCTTTTCTATGGCTTCACAATGAAGCCACCACTTTTATCTTCTGTGTCCATCTCTCCTCCATTCTTATTTGCTACTTGTTCTAGAGTTGTATTCTTACAGTATAAGACATTATTAGATAGATGTTCCATATTAATTTATGCAACTGTTCCAGAAATGCACAACTTAAGGCAAAGAATCTCTTGCAGAAGAACCCTCTTAAAGTATTGTATGCAAACTTGGAGCAGGATTACAAAAATGCAGGATGAAGCTAGGAGATAAACTGAACTAGAATCCCAGCAAAGTGAACTGGAGATTCAGGAAACATGTAGGGAAAGGATGAACACATCTTAAATTTGCTATGGAAACCCTGTCTCCTTGTCCAAAATACAGTTGATCTTATCAGCATCCAGACTGCCAAGTCCATCTATCTTATTGATCATTAATTTGGCCTTCTGATGTCTCAAATTTGTATGCATTAACATCCAGCCTCAACTCTGGATCCACTGGAATATGTTTTGCATACTAACAGCCACATCATGCAAATGACATCAGCAAATTAACCACATTAAGCACAGAGATACCCAGTCTTCCCAAGGAGTCCTATAAGAGTTACTTACTGCAGAACCTCCTGGCTTCCTACATCTGTGGTTTTGCCATCTTTTATCTACTAGTATACAGGTAGTCCTCGACTTATGACCACAATTGAGCCTAGAATTTATGTTGCTAAATGAGAAATTTGTTAAGTGAATTTTGCCTCATTTTACAACTTGTCACATTTTACTGCAATTGTTAGTGACACAGTTAAGTGAAACTGCCTTGCCCATGGACTTTGCTCATCAGAAGGTAGCAAAATATAATCACATGACCCTAGAGCACTGCAACCGTCATAAATATGAACCAGTTGTTAAGCATCCAAATGTAAACTACATGACCATGGGGATGCTGCAATGGTCATGTCACTTTTTCAGTGGTGTTCTAACTTCAGTCACTAAATGGACTGTTGTAAGTTGAGGACTACTTGTACAAGAATAAATCATATACTATTACCGTTTTAGACTTGCAATTTTAAGGAAACATAGCAGATGAGTTTCGTGAAGTTACTGCAATATGGTACTATAAGTGTGTCAGGCTAATGGGATATATTCTCTGAATAATACAAAAACAGTAATAATGGAAAATAGGGCTATTCCCCAACAAGGTAAACTGGGGAAGTAAATAAGTTATATTAAACTCTATATAATAACAGCTAAAATTAGGCTACATTTAGGAATAACTAGTCTCTATTAGAAAAACCACAAGCATACTATACAATAATTTCATCTATCAAAGCCGTGTTAATTATACAAACAGATGGTACCTTTTTCATGAAGATATTTTACTGTAGTTAAGAAATAAACCCTAGAGGAGGGATTTTTCAATCATGGTAGTGCTAAATCAATTGTTGGAAAAGTCTCAACAAGAAAGAATGTTTTATTATATATGGTGGTTATGCTAAAAAAAAAACCCACTAAAGTACTAAAAAGAAATACACCAAAACATTCAGAAAATTCTTAATAAAATTTGAATTAAAACAAATATTTTTATTAGGATGATTTCAGAAAGCATAAGTGAAAGGCATCATAATCTATTAACGTTTTTATCAACAGTGGCAAAAATCAATCTGATGCAATATTGGGGGGGGAAAAAAACCTGGCCATCCGTACAAGATTGGAACTCTAAAATTGAAGAACATGCAGCAATAAAAAATACATATATGCAGCAGAAATATAATGAAATTGAAATAGGAATCTTTTTCTTATATGTAGCAGCTCATGTAGCAATGCAAGCTAAGACACATAATACATACATGCACACATGTACAGATAGTCCTGCACTTAAAGCCATTTGTTTAGTTACCAAAATTACAACAACATTGAAAAAAGTTGAAAATTACAACAACATTGAAAAAGACGCTCCTGTTGGCAGCATCCCCATGATCATTAGATTTAGGCACTTGGCAACTGGCTCATATTTATGACAGTTGCTCATGTGATCACCTGTTGTGATCTTCTGACAAGCAAAATCAATGGGGAAGCCAGATTCATTTTAACAATTGGTGCTAACTCAAAACTGCAGTGATTCACTGAACAACTGCGGCAAGAAAGTCAATAATGGCACAAACTCAGTCAACAATTGTCTCATTTAGCAACAGAAACTTTGGGCTCAATTGTGGTCGTAAGTGGGGATGACCTGTATATATAACTACAAATTCCAAAATACCTTAAGTATGTATGCAGATAGTTCTCAACATATGACCATTTGTTTAGTGACTTCAAAGTTACAAGAGCACTGAAAAAAGTGAGTTATCACCATTTTTCACACCTATGACTGTTGCAGCAGCTTCACATGATCAAAATTCGGACACTTGAGAACTGGCATATTGCAATGTCTCGGGATCATGCAGTCACCTTTTACAACCTTCTGACAAGCAAGGTCAAGGGAGAAGCCAGATTAACAACCATGTTACTAAATCAACAATGCAGTGATTCACTTAACAAATGTGGCAAGGAAGGTCATAGAATGGGGTAAAATTCACTTAACCGTTGTCTTGCATAGCAACAAAAATGTTGGGTTCAGTTGTAGTCATAAGTTATATGTATGTATGCATGTATGTATCTTTCCTTTGTTTTGCCTGCATGTTCAACTAATTAAAAAAAGCGTTTAAAAAAACTTCAGCAGATTTTTAGATTGTATCCTTTTTCACAAAAACAATATTTTAGAAATCACCTCATTGCATTTATAATGTTGGGAATAGCAGTAGCAACAGCAGGAAGACTTGTATACCACTTCAGTGCTTTACAGCTCTCTCTATACAGTTAGCATATTGCCCCCAACAATATGAGTCCTCAAAAGAATGGAAAGCTGAGTCAACCTTGGGTTGATGAGGATTGAACAAGAGAATTAGCCTGCAATACTGTATGCTAACCACTGCTACGCCATGGGAATGCAATGAAATTGCTTCATTTTTTTATTTTTGGTCAAAGAAAATGGACTTACAATTAAGATCAGCTATGGAAGACAATAATGAATTGTGGCGTCAATTTATATGTCTATAAAACTAGTTAGAAAATGATGAGGATTGTTGTGAGTCAGTTTACTGTAGTGCAGCGGATCCCAACCTTTCCAGCTTGGTTGCCTGGTGGGAACAGTAGATGGTTCGTTGTGAATGGCAGATGTGCGCATGAATGCGGACAGTTCCATTTGTGCAAACAGCAGGCGAATATGCCTGAGTGCCTAACCCCTTGTGCAGCCCGGTTCTGAATGGGGTGAGGCCCGGTAGTGGGCTACGGCTTGGAGGTGGGAACGCCTGCTGTAGTGGTTAAGGCAGGAAACTAGAAACCAGGAAACTGAGTTCTTGTCCTGCCTGGTACAAAACCAGCTGGATAAACCTGGGCCAGTCACTCTCTCTCTCAGGCATAAGGCGGCAATGGGAAACTCTTTCAAAAATTTTGCCAAGAAAACTAGTGACTAGTCCATGTAGGAGTGACTAGTCCAATAGGAGTCAATGACTTGAAGCACACAAAAAAGTGTATTTGTGGTTTTATTTTTTCAGCTTTTCCCCCCTCCATTTTCTAATCGTGATTTTTAAAAAAAATTCTTCTTAATTTTTTGGGGGTTAATTAAAAAAAAACTTACAAGGACATCTGTGGATAAAGATAAAAAAATGAATGCCCTGATATTTATGCATATGTGAATTCATCATATTTAAAAATCAGCTTAGATACTGATCACCTTCTTGTGATTAATATATATTTTATTGGTATATATGAAGGATGGGATCTTTGGACAAATGCTGTAATTGTGAGAAGGGTTAATAAACTTTTTAATTTAGTTCTCTTATATGAAAATTCAAGTTTGAGTTAAATAAAAGGAGAAATGAATGTATACCATCCCTAAAACTAATGATTTTAACAGAGTTAGGGATAAGAAATTTAACACTTTTAATTAATACATTTGAACATATAATCTATGGCCCTCCAGATGGTGAATTACAACTCTCAACAGCCCCAGCTAGTCAGCTAAGGATGAGGATTGTACCACAATGTTGACACATAAACCACAGACTATGTGCTGCAAGCAGACATTCAAAAGATGCATGTATTCTCTTCACTGTTAACATAAATTAATTAAATTCAGTGATATCTGGAGAGCCACACAGCGTAGATTAAAAAATTAATTCAAATTATTTTAATTATAGTGAGGAAGTAAGACATTCTAGAACATAACTCTGAGAAGCACCTTTGTAAGGTTAATGAATGCTGTAGAACTTGGCCCTGAGGAGAAAAAAGGAAGCAGGTTTATGAAAGCCTTGGACATTAATATCCAGCAGCCAAAGGAAAGTCTCAATGCTCCCCCCCCCGGGGGGGGGGTTTATACAGGTGATCCCTTGAATGTTAGAGCAATGTCCAAGAGATTGTTACCCAGCTCTTCCTGTTCTCCTCCGAGACCAAACTCAGCAGTCAATTCTCTGAAGGTGATACATATGCGACGACTTTTAATATGGTTGCGATAAATGGCATGCTTCCACTGGTAGCGAGCAGGTCCACTGAGAACGACTAGTGATCTCTGAGGTAGGTAAATAGCAACCAGGATTTCTCTGAGTGGGACTAACTTTGTGGATGAACAATCAGTGCTTTCTAATCTTTCTGGAAGACTGCAATCATTAATCGGATACTCTTGAGAAATATCAGATTTATACCTGTGCATCTCCTTGGTTTCTGGAAGAACTAGAGGAACTAACTGGAGATTGTCCTCTGAGTCGCAGGACATGGAAAGTACGGTATCTGAGAGCAAGTTTAAACTCACCAGCCTTTCCCCCCATAGCCACCAGTCATCCCAATGTGGGTCAATAGCAGATCCTCTCTCAGGATCATAATCTAAATTGCACTGCTCAATAGGAGAAAAACTTTCAAGAACTGGATATTTTCTCATTCGTGCCACAATCTCCTTGCTGAAGCTGGGCAGCCCAGAAAAATTACCAGCTTTCAATTTCCGCTTCTTGAAATTCACTTTGGGGCCATAGTCCTATTAAAAAAAAAAAAAGAATATTTGAGGAGAGTTGAATTAAAAGATGAAGACTGTGAGCAATGAAATCCCCAATTCAGATCTTATATCCAAAAAAATGCAGGCTTAAAGGCTGCTATTTTTAGTCCACCACCTGCAATAACAGGGTAAGAATATTAATTTATAGATTCTAGTTGAGATTTTTGACAAACATAGTCAAACAGTGCTGCTTCCTGAACAACAAACTCTTGGTTATAATTTTAATTAAAATTATATGTATATCTAAAACAAAATTTGAAAATAAATCTGTTTAAAATATTTAGTTTCTACATATATTATAGGGCAGGGGTATCAAATTGGCAGCCTATGAGCTGGATGTGTCATGCGCAGGCCACGCTCACACCAGCTCCATGAAGGAAAAAAAAAGTCAAAACGTCACGACAACAACATGACGCTGCGAGTTTGACACCCGTGTTGTAGGAAGTATCTTAAAAGAGGTATCTCCTCCTATAAGTGATCTTCAAAACAAAATCAACCATAAATATTTATACAGGAAAACTCAATTTCGATGTCAGAATTTATAACTGTTTTGCATCTGACATAAAAAGTGGTGAATGTTCTAAAACATCAGAATGTCAGACTATCAATGACTTTTGGGCAATATGGCAGTGTAATCAGTCAAGAAGCAACATATTCCAACAGGATTTTTATCCTGGTGATTAATTGTGTTTTAATTGCTACTGAAATTACTACCTGAGACATATTTCCTATTTAACAACTAAAGCATATTTATTGATTGCTTAGCTGGTTGGTACCCAAGAAATTCCTGCCCTCAATTTGCTTAAGAAATACTATCAACAACCAAGAAGACAAACAAATGCATCTTCAAACAAAACAAACTAGGATTTGTTTCTCATTCAAGGACAAATAACCAAACTCCAATTATCATACTTTGGACACATTATGTGAAGATTTAATTCTCTGGAGAACTCTGTTTGGGTAGAAAGGTGAAAGTAGAGGAGGGTGACCAGAAGCAAGTTCAATAGACTGAGTTACAATGGTGATGGGTTATACTGTTGGAAGGCCTAAAATTAGGCAGGGGTGGGTTTCTACCGGTTCTGTCCACCACTGTAGAACCGGTAGCTCTGAAGAGCAGCAGACATAGAACCAGTTCTATGTCTGCTGATGTTTTTGCTCACCCACCCACTCTTACCTGACCTTTATTTCCTGATTTTTTCAACTTCAGCTGCCGTGCGAGGCACAGCTGCAGTTTAAAAAGCAGGAAAAAAAGGCTTTTTGAAAGGCTGCTTCTCTGCACGCAGCATGATGGCAGCGTGCAGGGAAGCACATCGTCAATCACCAAACCTCATAAATGACCGAACTGGTAGTTAACCCTGTTGGATCCCACCCCTGCCTAAAAGGATCACATTCAAGACATATTGTCACAGAGAAAATCTATATGGTTGCTTTGAGTTAACGCTGGCGTGGTTGCACATAATCAAATTGTAACTCTAGTTCAACTTCCTACTTAAATATTTGTTTATTTTGAGTATGGTAGTTGTCTTTGGAACTACAAGGAAACATTATACATTGTTTTTTTCTAATGGTTGGGTTTTTTTTCCTTTCCAACCCTTTTGCTCTTTATTTTCTTTTCTTAATTGACTTTAAAATAGATAGCTAATTTTAACAGGTCAAATGACAATTAAAAAAGACTTGCTTAAGCATGTCTAGAGATTTTCTGACAATGAGATTTGAATTATGCACCTTTATCTCAGTTTTGTTTCCCTCTTTTTTCTCCTCAGTGCAGCTACTCTTTCACCTCAAATTATCGTTCTAGCTTTTCCCCCTTTCACTGCTGTTTCTTATTGAAAGATGGGAAAGTATATACAGTATATACTTATGTAATTCTGTATGAGGAAGTAGTTTGCATAACACATTGCATCACAAACTGACATGATAGCAGTGTTCCAATATCTAAGGGGCTGCCACAGAGAAGGTGGGTGGTGTCAACCTATTTTTCAAAGCATGTGAAGGCAGAACAAGAAGCAATGGATGGAAACTAATCAAGGAGAAAACCAACCTAGAAATAAAGAGAAATTTCCTGACAGAACAATTAATCTGTGGAATGACTTGCCTCCAGAAGCTGTGGGTTCTCTAACACTGGAAATGTTTCAGGAGAGATTGGACAGCCATTTGGTACAGTTTCCTGCCTGAACAGGAAGTTGGATTAGAAGACCTCTATGGTCCATTCCAACTGTTATTCTGTTCAACCATCTGTTATGCAAATGCAGCCTATGGTGTGCACCTTTTCTCATGTAAACCAAGAAAACTGGATTGAATAAACCCTGATTAAATAAACCAAGTACTTATCATGATCAAAGAGAATGAAAGTGGTTGCATCAGAAGTGTTACTAACATTTCTCTGTTGCTTTAACTTTTTTTTTTGGGGGGGGATCACAGGGAAAGAGAATGGAAGGAAGAACTCACAAACTAAATAAAGATATCCAAAGAGAAACACTAAAAGATGATCCCATCCCTACCTCCCAAAGTAAGGAAGAATTTAAGCTTGAGACAAGACCTGTTTTCTTCGGCCAGATTGTGATGGCTTCCACGTGCTCCGATCCATTAGCTCAACCATTTGATATTCCTCATCTGTGTTTATAAAGTCTTCCAGCAAAAAAACTCCTGGAAACTGGAAAGTCCAGCCTTCAAATTCTGATTGTTTTTCTCCCACAGCAAAGCCAGTCAGTGGGCAGTAAACAAAGTTGGCACTTTTCTGAGGAAAAAATGGAAATGTGAGATGGAGACAAGTAGTAACTGAATCTAGTTTTCACGTTTGGTATTTGTCCAATGTTCTAGATTGCAGAAATACAACCTTCTAATCACTTGCTTAAATAAATGTGGTTTTAGGCAGAATTCCTGCGTGTTATATTAAAGGAAGTCCTTTACTCTCTTAATGACCATTCAAACTTATAAAGCAACCCCAAAAGCTATTTATGAGCCAGTTTTAAAATTACACCAGCTGCAGCACTACTACTGCAGTCATTTGGCCTTATGGCCAACCCAGGGATGCTGTAGTATTCACCCACCCATCCAGATGGGTTCCTGCAGCCACTCATTCACCTTCACCTCCCACCAGCAACCAAGGGGAGACCAGGCCTCTGCAGTTTGCAACTTCCAGCAAGGAAGGGGAGATTAGGCTGTATGGAGCTTGTGAGCCTCCAGTTTCTTTCCCTTTCAAGGACTAGCAGGACTCAGCCTGCTCCTGAGTCCAAAAACACTCCATTTACCTTTCTGTTTGTTGAAGCTTCAGAGATTACAGGATCTTACAGACCTAGCCTTCTGACAAAGCAGGTGTTAATTCTCAGGCATCTGTAATTTTAAGGAGGCTCCATAAACTCCATGAAGAAATGAAGCCTCTTGAATGAACCCCACCCGCCTCCCCATGCAGTATTGCAAGAGTAGAACCTAATGCAAAACAAGCAGGAATTTGCCAGGCTTTCTGGGTGGGAAGATAGCTAAAGGCTTGTAAATTCTACAGCTGGCTTGATCTCTCTTGCTAGCTGGGTAGGAAGGACTCTGCAGAGATCCCGAGGGACAGGAAATGGAGCATGGATGCCTCAAGGGATGGTGGTAGCTTTGGGAGATCCTCCAGGGCAGGCAGCCCTGACCACTGAAGCAACCTGTACAGGTAGTCTTCAGCGACCATTCAAACAGCACTGAAAAAAGTGACTTATGACAGTTTTTCACACTTACGACTGCTGCAGCATCCCATGGTCACATGATCAAAATTCAGCCACTTGGCAACTATCTATGATTGTAGTGTCCCAGGATCATCTGATTACCATCTGTGACCTTCTTACAAGCAAAGTCAATGGGGAAGCCAGATTCACTTAACAACCATGTTACTAACTTCACAATTGCAGTGATTCACTTAACAATGGTGGCAAGAAAGGTCATAAAATTGAACAAAAGTCACTTTAAAATATTTCACTTAGCAATTTGGCTCAATTGTGGTTGTATGTCAAGGACCACCTGTAGTTAAGTGGACCACTACTGGTGGTCCACTTAACCCTTGCATTAATTTAATAGTTGCATCAGAGAAATTATGAGGCACTGTTGCTTAATGGCTAAGGCGATATGTGACAAATTGGCAGTCTCCATCACAGTTGTATCGTGAGGACTACCTATAGTTGGTATTAGATTTTGAAGATGGGGTTTTGGTCATTTGGCTTTATGCCATCATTTTGTTGAAGTTCTAAACGTTTTAACTTGTTTATTATCTTATTTAAGCACTTATTAATGTACTGTATAATTAATATTGTCTTAACTTTACAGTTTATTTTAGCAGAATTCAAGAGACAATGTTATAATGATGTAATATATACCCCATGTGTAAATATGTAATTTTGAGAAAATTAAGAATTGTGTTCCATTGAATCAGACTATAGAGACAAATTAAAAATAGAAAGCATAAACAGTACATTTAAAATTAACAGTACATTTTAATTAACATTAAAATTATTTAAACTATTGGTTAAGTATTTTAAACAGTGGAATCACAGCCTACAAAATTTTCCAGGGGCAGGAAAAAAATAAACTTCGGGGAATTGATATAGGATGGTGGCCCAATTTACAAGTACAAACACATTATAACAAGGACAAAGAACAATTCGGCTTCTATACAACCCAACAAGAGCTAGATAAGATATGGCAAGGAAAAGGAAAAAATGATTAGTAAAAGTTATAACTATCTATTAGACTATAAAATGAAGGAGGTAACCAGCAAAGAATGCATGATAACTTGGGCTAAAAATGTGGGCCACAATATTAACTTAGACCAGTGGGAACATCTTTGGCAGATAAACTATAGATTAACGATGTCAGTCTCTTATAAAGAGAATTTATACAAAATGTTTCACCGCTGACATCTACCACCAGCGAGGTTAGCCAAAATGTTCCCCAACATGACACCCAATTGTTGGAAATATAACTACAACCAGGGAACTTATTTCCACATGTGGTGGACGTGCCTGCATATACAAAAACGTTGGCAAAAAAATCAGAATTTGGATAGAGGACATAACAAAACAAAGTAAAATTCAAACCAGAAATTTTTCTACTAGGTATTTTAGAACCAAATATGGAAAAGAAGTATCAATACTTGATTTTGCATATTATAACTGCAGCTAGAATAAATTTTTCTCAGAATTGGAAATTGGCTACGACCCCTACAGAAAACATGATAATTAATAAAATACATGAATGTGCTGAGATGGATAGATTAACCAAACTGCTAAAAGATAATCAAGACAGTGAATATTACAAAACATGGGATACCTGATATGACTGGCTAAAGAAAAGGTAGTATCTGATGACTTGGTAACATTTGGAAAATAAGGGTGATGTGTAAAACAATTGTAAATAAATTATATGTATGTATATAGAGAGCTTATAAGGATGAAGGAGTTATTATAACAATATATAACACGCTATCAGAAGGAAAGCTATTGTATCTATTGCTCAAAATGTATATATACGTTTTTAATTTTATAAATATTGAATAAATAAATAAAAAGTTATAATCATTAAATATAACAACTCCTTGTTCTGTCCTTTATCTTCTGATAAACAATGTACTCAGCAAGAGAGGAGAGGGTTTTGTTAGACCTCTGACCTTTGGAAGAATTAGATTTTCAGTAAATGTAAAGGTATTTAAGATATCCCATTGTCACCTCATTAAAAGTTTGGTCATTTGTCACAGAAAATCCTCATTCATATTCTCCTGCCAGTTAAAGCAGTCTAAGCTCCCACAAAATTATTTACTCAAATATTATTATATTTTTGGCAACCTTCTTAGCTAGCTTGCAAATCCTTGGACTTAGATGCCACTTGGATAGAGAGTCTGGTGAGGTAACTTGGGTAACATCCTGCAAGATCAAATGTGATTACAGGTAGCCCTCAACTTACAATTACAATTAGGACCCAGAACTCCTTAATGCACTCATTAAGTGAGTCATCACATGATCACATCCAATTTTATGGCTTTTTTCATTAAGCAAATCTCAGTCATTAAGTGACTCTAGTTTCCCCATTGACTTTGCTTGTCAGACACTGGCTGGGAAGGTTACAATGGCAATCATGTGATCCTGGGATGCTGCCAAGTACCTAAATCAGGATTAGTTTAGGTCAGTTTACTTTATTGTCATTGCACCTCGTACAACGAAATTAAATACCATCTTCAGTGTACATTATGACTGAAAATAAACACAAGCATACATCCTTCACATTCTATACATTGAATTGAAAACCCAATATTGCATTAATATTACACTATACAGTAGAATTCAAAAGAGTTACTGCCCTGTGATAGAAGCTGTTTTTCAGCCTATTTGTCTTTGTTTTTATTGTCCTGTACCATCTGCCAGATGGTAATAGTTCAAAAAAAGGGTTCCCAGGACGAGATGGATCTTTGAGGATGATTTGAATTTTCTTAAGGCAGTGGGAGCTATAAAGCTCTTCCAAAGAGGGGAGAGGGCAACCAATTATCTTCTGGGGCAATGACATTAACCCTCTGGAGTGCTTTCCTATCTGCCACTGTGCAATTGGCAAACCATACAGAGGTGCAGTATGTTAAAATGCTCTCTATAGTGCAGCGGTAGAAGGTCACCAGCAGTTTTTCATTCAGTTGTTTTCTGAGAAGTCTCAGGTAATATAACCTCTGGGCCCTTTTGACCAGTGCTGCAATGTGAGCACCCAAGGTCAGGTCCTCTTTTATGGTAACACCCAGAAACTTAAAACTGGCCCCTTGCTCTCCATTGATAAGCAAGGGCTGGATGTCTGATCTGTTCCTACTATAATCCACTATAAGATCCTTGGTCTTATTGCTGTTGAAGACTAAGTTATTGTCTCCTCACCACGAAAGCAACAGGTCCACCTCATCACGGTAGGCAGACTCATCCTGTCAGCTTTGAAATTCAGTTGCCACATTTTATTGGAAGGGGGTCGAAGGAGTTGAAAAGTTCAAGGTTATTCTGTGTGTCGTATTAAGAAATTGGTTCTCGTGATTTATGAAGTGTAGAAGTGGGAGGAGAGAAGAGATGAGAGAAGGTAGATTCTGTGTAACAAGCGAAAATACTTTCACTTTGGGAAATTGCTTTAGACATACCAGATCTGTTTCTAAATAAATCAATTGGAGAGAAAATGTCTCGGAGTGATTGATATCATGGATACTTTCTGGATGCCTTACACATCCTCCCCCAGAGATGAATCCCATCACTGTTATGTCACCATGTGGATGCTAACAGTCATAAGTGTGAGGATCTGTCATAAGTCACTTTTTTTCACCACTGCCATAACTTCAAAAAGTTGCTAAACCATGGTTGTAAATGAAAAACTACTTGTATTCTGAATGTGGAAATGACATTAGATTTTTAACAGAGGATCCTAGAGAAAAAGGATTGTGTTGTTTTCTTTCAACTGAAATTCAGGACTAGGCATGGCACAAAAATAGTACCAGTTGCCTTAAGATCTGGATGGAATGTTATCTATCTTACTGACCTGGCCTTTGGTTCCTCCCATATGTGTTATGCAAGCCTTCTCTCTTTCTGCTCTTTGGCATCTGCCTGAAGCTTCTAAAAAATAATTCTTCAGTTCAGGATTGGGTATAACCAGTATGCTAATAAAACTAACCATACTTAGCAGCATTGTAAAGAGTTGGGATGATCACAACAAATGAAATTAAAGCCCAGAATAGATCTTCATAAGTGAGTATCTGGATCACTCCCATATCCTAAATTTGTTCTGGATGGGGTTGTACTTCCCTTGAAAAAGCAGTTTTGTGATATGATCTCAATAACTCAAATCTTTATTACAATATAGTCAGGAACCAGTATAATACCTTGGTATTTAGTATTATCTTTGAGACAGCTATGTAGAAGCAATCCTAAACAGCTAGAATCTTTTTTCTCATCTTTTTAATGTAAAGGAAATGACACTTCTCTCTTTTGAGCAAGAGGGACAGCTTATACTAGTAAATGGTTTTAGAAATGGCTACCAGCTTCCTTATTATTGTGTGAAAAAGTTGAATATCTGTGGAGATTCTCAATCATCCAGGTCATGATCATCCAAAGGTGCGTTTTCCCAAAGGCAATTAGATTTCCTTATTTCCTTTCAAAACATTTCGCTTCTCGCCCATAAACTTTCCTTAGTTCTAATGGAATGGAAGGATTTATATTCTTTGCAGTCATCTGGTTAGCTCTCTGAAAGTAGCTGAGGCCACTTGGGGGTTTATCTATTTCCTCAGAATCACCTGAATCAGAGTGTAAACAGCTGTGGAACCTTCTTGAGACTGCTACAAAGGACTGTGTTGTAAACAGGTCTTGTAGCCTTTCCCCCCTGTTGAGAGGGCTGTTCAATTTTAACATAAATAGCCCCTTTGATCCCTTTTTTAAACCAATGGACACTACCTATCTCCTGTTTACAACACAATCTTTTTAGCAGACCCAAAAAGGTTCAATGCCCATTTGCACTCTGATTCAGGTGATTCTGAGGATACAGATAAAGACTCAAGTAGCTTCAACTACTCTCAGAGTGCTAACAAACAGATGATTGTAAAGAATATAAATCCTTCCATTCCCCTCTAATCAGTTAGAACTGAAGAAGTTCCTTGGATGAAAAGTGAAATGTTTTCAAAGAAAAAACAAAGTCCAGTTGCCTTTTGGAAAAAGCATCTTCAGGAGATGTCTGGACAAGCAATATTTAACAAGGATCAGCCACCCTATGGTGGGTGAACCAGTTTAGGTCTTTTGGGAATGATATGTTCTTGCAACAGCAACATGATTTAGATTGAGCTGCTCTTGAAGATATCTCAAAAGCTTCACTTGGCCAAAATGCAGCTACATGTGTACTAAGCTACTTGTGTCCTTTTTATTTGTATTAACATTCACTGTTTAAAAACTATTCAGCCTTGTGAAAAGTTAGAACAATATACTGTGATAAATGAATAATTTGCTCTCTCTTCCTTCCATTTTACAACTAATCAACACAGTAGATTAATCTGACAGAAAATGGTCCAGTATCATCCTGGATTTTCATGGCATCAGAGATGTTTGTAAATCTTGTATCTCTTTGGTACTAATTTAAAATTCTAATAAAGCTGATTATTAATCAATGGGCAGACTGCTGGCTTTGGGATCAAGGCAGGATATATCCTATCTTCTGGGCCTACTGTAGATATCAGAAGTAATTATATCATGGCTGTATGTTTTATCAGCCCAAGATAGCAAGAGTAAATATTTTGGAATGGTAAGAGGATGCAGAAGAATCCTAGACTTATTCTAACAAATATATACAAAATATGATAGTTATTTGAAAGAACATGTTGCTCCAAACAAAACAAGATGACTTAGAAAGAACAAATCTATTCAAAAGAATGGCCTCCTAATTCTGACAAAACACAAAACATTTTTCTTCAGCTTTTTGCCCTAGCAGAAGGAACAGGAGAAAATAACTATCTGTATAGAATCTTGCTAAATTCATATCAGTCTTGAAGTTAAGTCATATGAATATACACATACACACGGTTTATTTTGGTTATTTTTTTTTTGTAGGATTAAACAAATTCCTGTCAACCTTTCTTGAAGTTTATTAATGAAAATATTCTTTTCCATGAATTGTCCAAAATGCTTAACTACTTCAATACTATTTTAATTATATTCCCAGTTATTGCAGATGATCCATAACTGAAATAATTACATTTTAAAGCTTTCTGGATTTGAACGCATATAGAGTCTAGATAAAATCATTGTAATGATTTGGCAACTTTTGTATTCTTTCATATCTTTTGTTATCAAATGCCTAAGAAGTTTGAGCTTCTGGACTGAATTCACACAATCTGCCAAAGCATAAAGACTAGGCAATCCGTTGATGGCTAGGGTCATAGGTAACATTTGGGGGTGGAAGGGAGAAATACCCTGGGTGAAGGCAATACTTGGAAAGTAGATTCATCTGTGTTGGACAGACTTTTCTGGATGTAAATTGAAGTTTGGGTAGTTTCTTTGGAAGATTTCCATCTCTCCTCCATTGCTCAAAATTTGTCTGCCTGAAATCGCCGCATATCCTTTTGAGCTTTCCTAATATAACAGTAAAATGGATTTTAAAAAAAGATATAAAAGTTATGTTTAAAAATACAACGGCAACCTAAAGTGGGAACTTCTACCAGCTGTAGCAAACGCGGCTTAGGATTCTTTCTCCCTTTCCTTGAGACGAGCACTCTGCACGTCCTCAGAGGCGCTCTTACGCCGGAGCTTGGGCGACGACCAGCCCCCCTTCAAACCTTCCCTCTCCCACCCTCCAATTCCCACCCCCTTCTCCACCCCTTCTCTGAGGCCGCGTGGGTTACCTGCGGGGGCGGGGCGGCCTCGCAGAACAGGCAAGAGCGGATCCCCTTGCACCCGCAACCCCTGGGCACTCCGAGGACCGCTCCATCTCCTGCTACTCCTCCTCGCGTTTTAGCAGCCTCCATCCTATCCGACCCCGGTAGCTTTTGCGGCTGTCGGCCCCCCTCCGCGCTTCCGGTTCGGCGAGCCCCGGCGGTGGCAGCAGAAGCAGCACCAGAAGGTTCTTGCGCCTGCCTGAGGTAAGGCTCTGGCCGAGAACGGTGAGAGGTGGGCTGGCGCGGAGCCCAGGGTCGTGGGGACAAGGGCCGGCAGCCGATGGGGCGTTAAGCGAACGCGCGCCCAGCGGGAAATATTAAGGCGAGCCGCCTCCTTCGGACTTTTCTCCTCAAGGCCCTACCGGCCGCCTTGACTGGAGGAGCGATGTTGTGGCGGGAAACTCGTCTTCCCAGCAGCGCTTTGCGCGGTTTATCTGTAAGAAAGGCATCCTCGCCTCCTGCCGGGGCATGATGGGAATTGTGGTCTCGAGGCTGGTCGAGCATTTAAAGATGCTGCTCCTCCTGCCTTCTTACCCTCCCCTCTCCAATTTTCCTCATCGCCGCCACACGGCGCCTCTTTCTCTCCGGGCTCAGTTTTTATAAAATCTGTCCCTCCGTAGTGAGATGATGTGTAATTTTGTTTACATGTTGGTAGATATCGGTCTATCTGAGGAGAGAGGGTTTTTTGTTTTTTTTCATTGTTCAGTAGGGGGTTAGGAAGACGAGGCGGCAACCAGACCCTCAAAGCCTGCTCATTTTCCTTTTGAAACAATAACCCCCTTTTGAAAAAGACACATGCAATTTTTCCCTCTTTCATTTCACTTCAGACTGAGGTTTGCCTCAGAGATAAGATTTTTTTCGATTTTTCCTTTTCGGCATCTCCCTGCTGTTCCCCACCTCAGGCATATCATTGTAGTTGAAAACTGCTCTTAAAAAATAATTCTGTTTCTCCAAGATTCTTAGGCATGTTTTATTTCTTCCCATACCTTTGAAACTGCCTATGCTGTGATTTAGTTCATTTCAGTAATAACACACACAAAACACTTTTTTATTGGGAACAGGGGAGTCAAAAATGCCCATCATTTGACACAAGTCAGCTACTATAAATGACTTGGAAATCAATATACCCAATTAATGATAATAATGGTTCCCAAAGCTGGAAAAGCTCTCCTTTTTACCCAATTTCTATTCATTCCCTTCTTTTGATGTTTTTCTGGTATATCCATCCTTATTTGTAAGAATGCTAGAGCTGAGATTTAAAAAAAAATTAAGGTCCATAATATATAATATATGCATGTATAAATATGCGTTTCAGCCATGAATTTCTGAAAATCTATATAAGGCAATGTAAAGCAAAATTAAAATCAAAGTGGTAAGAGGGACTATTAAGACTATTAAGATAAAAATCATGTTCAATTTAGGAATTTGAATTAAAATATCAAACTATAGCCCTTCAGCCTCTTTCTGTAAACATTGAGTCAATGGAAGCCCACCATATATTTTTTGGATAAATATTTTTACTATCAAACTCTAACATTAAATTTTTCCAAACTGGACATTTAAAGATTCTTACTCCATATTTTTGCACTATGGAGTGATTTAAGTTCTGACCAACTGTTGATCAACCTTGGTTCTATTTCTTGATAATTGCTATCAGATCCTCTTTCAATTGTTTTCTGTTGGGAATAAACATACAGTACAGATTTCCCTCAGATATAAAACTAAATCTTTAGTCTTTTGATCATTCTTGTTGCATTTCAATTTGTTTCGTTAATTTTTAAAAAAATATAGTATCTGTAGCTGGACACTGTATATGAAGAAATAGAGTCTGAAGAAGGGCGAATATAGTTACTTTGGCAACAGTTTCTATTGATGCATTCTGAATTGCAATTCCCTTTGGAGCTGTATCATGTTTCATATATAGTTTACAATTAACATTCCCAAATCATTTTCATATGTTCTAGTATGAAGTCAGAGATCATATATGTTTCTATTTTATTTCTTTTTTGTAAGTGAAGAACTTTGCATTCATCTTTATTAATTTTCATTCTACATTGAACCCACTTTTATAGCCTATTATTCATTTTGAATTATGCTTCTTCTGTAATATTAGCTATCTCACTCAATTTTGTATTAGTTGTTATAGATTCTTCTGATTCCTTAGATGAAGGTAAGGATCAGATAATATATAGCCTGCTGTGGAAAAGAGGTGTAATATTTTTTCAAAAACTTATTTCCTCAACCATAACTCAGAACAACTGCCAGCTAAAGAAAAACATTTGTCTCTCTGATAGAGGTAATGAAATCTTAGGAAATGTTAGTAGAAAACTAAAGAATGCATCTTAGAAGCTTTAGGAAGAACTTTACATATGTTAGCAAAAGTATGGCTTCTGGGCTTGGAAAGAATTAGGACAGAGTTGGGATGATTATAGAGATTAGAAATTAATAATCCTGAGCTCTGTAACAAAATATGGAAAAAATTGGTGTGTAAATAAAATATTCTATCCTTCCTCTATGTTGTACTTTTACTTACTTTAATTTAAAAACTGGATATTAATTGTAAAAGTAACAGGTTGAAAAGCAAAATTTAACATTGTTTCCTTTTGTTACAAATGATTTTCCAAAATTGTTGGCTTTACAGCATTGCCACCAAATATGAAAAAATGATCTAATATGATATTGCATTTCCAGCCATTTTTGCAAAATGCATTATCTATTTTGGCACTCAACACTGTCTAATATACCAGTGGCCCCCAACCTTTTTCGAACCAGGGACCGGTTTCACAATTATTTATTCTTCCACGGACCGGTACCTGAGTAACGTGAGACTCCACCGCCATTGGGACGGCTCTTTGTTCGAAGCCGCCCCCCCCTTCGACGAAACTAAGGTGGGATCACCCAAACGCCGCTTTCCAACTGAAAAACCGGAAGCAACCGAAAACCCGGAAGCGCTGTCGAAACAAGATGGCAGCGCCCAAGCTTTGCGGCCCGGTAAAAAATGATCCACGGACCGGTACCGGTCCAGGGACCGGTGGTTGGGGACCCCTGTAATATACCACCAACAGAACATCTTATGCCATTTTTCTCTAGGTGTAATATTGATGGTATATTACCTATTTTTGCTTTGTTATCCCTGTAGTTACATATTTTTGATCTTTTTGGCTTCTGCATTCATTAAACTACACAATCTTTGACTTGTTCAATGTCTGAATCATATCATCAGCAATTTATAGACCCAATATATTATCTAAATTTTGTGTAGTAAGCTTTTTAATTCAGGAAAAATCTCTAAGTGTCCAACCTAGAGCTACCTATATTCAATTTCAGATAAAAAAAGTAAAAAAAATCTTACACTCATTAACATTGATGTTCTAAATTGTAAATAACAATTGATATACCTTTTTATCAACAATAATCTAAGTTACCTAAACATTAGAGTGTTAATTTTCAATCAATACAAATGTCACTGTACTGAAATAATATATATTAAGATTTACAAGAACATAAGAAAAATAAATGATAGGAAAAATTAGATGAGGGCTAACTGTTGCTTTCAGATACCTGCATATACATAATTGTATATGTATGTGTATATTCCTCGATTTACTACCCTTTATTCAGCAACCATTTTACATTGCAATGGTGCTGATCAAAGAGACTTATTACCTGTGCTCAAAGTTACAGCTATTGCAGCACCCCCAGAGGTCATGGGTGCTTGGCAGTTTACCTGTATTTATGACTGCAAGGCACTGCAGACACCCCTCCCCCCCCCAATGCACACCCCTCTTTTCCTCATCTCAGCCACACACTTGACCCACTTGTGCATGAGAAGCTGCTATGGTCAGAAGACTCCAGCCTGTTCCCATCTGCCAGGCCCAAGAGGCCTTGGCTTACTCCATCCTACCAGATCCAGGAGGCTAGCCCAAATGGTCTTGGCCCATTTCCTGCCTCACTAGTACAAAACACCCCATTTCAGCATTTTTCTCTTCTATTGCCAGGCATGCTCAGCCTATGCGGGGTGCAGTTTTCTTACCAAAGCTACCTTGCACCATTCTTCAAGCATGACTTGGAGAAGACTTCCAAAGCATAATAAAAATGGAATCCACTTGGAGTACAGAAAAAGAAAAGAAAGAAAAATAATAGTAAAGAAAAAGTGTTCTCCTTTAATTGTAATCTTTAGTTCCTTATGGTTTCCTCTAATGTCCAACCTTCAAAGTTCCATCCTATAATGTTTTTTAAAGTGATTCAAAACAAAAACATTTTCCCATAAGAAGAATTCTTATTATTTCAAATCCACCTGTTTTTACTTTCCAAAATCAGTATTCTAATCATCTGTTTACAGATTAAAATAATAATTTAGGTCCTCAAATTTGTATTTAAAGCTTCTTTCACTAATAATTGAAGAAAATTAACACAGTGGTGTAAAATGTCTAAATGCAAAGGTTCCTGATAACTGAAAAGCAGTTAACAAGCCATTTCTGAAGGTGATTATAAAAGAAAGTATGGAAACCACTATCCTTTAGACAGATGTCAACTGCAGCATCAGCAAAAATAGATTTCTCTTGTATCCAAGAACTCTAAACCTACTGGAGACTACTAGCTTGCAGTCTCCTCGCAAAGAGAATTATATTTTCCAGATTTGAAAAATAAAATAGAAGGCATTTCAAAATGGAAAAAGTTGAAACTGACCTGTTAGGAAGAATCACAGCCCTAAAACTGAGCATTTTGCAAGAGCCAACTTTTTGATCCAAATAATTCCTAAAAAGAATTGAGGAAAGGAAGACTTCCAGATAGGTTGTACAAATCTTTGGTCTGAGGTATGCAGAAAAATGCAATGTATAATAGAACGTTCAATAATGTATTGTTTTGAAAGTATGGAATAAGCAATAAAAAAGGACCTACATGCTCGTCACTTAATGATGACTTCTGGAACTTCTATAGCTAAGTGGTATGATCATGTGAAATTGTGCTTTATGCCTGTGTCACTTAGCAATGGAAATTCCAGTCCCAATTACCTTCATTAAGACTACCTGTAAATTAAAACTCTTCTAAGAGAACATTGTTAAATCTCATTAATTAGTTATATTAATAGATTGATCAGAATTTCTTAGAAAGTCTTATATGATATGATAGAAAATCCATCAGGTTCAACAGATTTCTTCAATTTGAGTGTTTATATTGTTTTTTATTTCCTTTTCAGCATTGTCACTGGCTTGTAAAGTGCTTCATTTTGTTATTCTGTGAATTTATAAACTGTCTTGTATATTCATACTGTTCTAATGTTAATATTTACTACGTAATCTAGAATAATGTTTAAGAAAATGTTTTATTTTCTGTTGTTGAAACATATCTGTTGCCATCCCAATTAGTCATAAGAATTTTGTCTTGTTCTTTTCATAATACCCAGCAGTTTATCTAATTTATTAGCTTTTTCAAAATATTTTTGTTTGGCAAAGCTCAGCTTCTTATAAGTGTCATTTACCTCTATAAATAGGTATACAGATAGCTTTAATCTTTTGTTCTAAAACAAATCTTAGTTCTAGCTTCAGCTCAATGATCAAGTTGTTGGTTTGTTTTGTATAGTTTTGTATTTGATGCTATTGAAATAGTTTCCTCAAAAATGCTTTATTTGAATTCCATACTGTAAATAACCATCAGAAGTTGAATTGGTTTAAATGTTCTTTAATTTGTATTGATCCTTCAGTTTAATATTCTCTTTTAGCAATAATAATAAATACTCCGTCACTCGAAGATTCCTCTGTGTAAGATTACAGTTATTGGATTATGATCAGCATAGGTAAGATATCAAATTTCCATATTTATATGTTTGGTTAGGAATGAGCTAGAACATGACACTCTTTGAACAACTTCTAGGAATAGAAGAATAATACATATATTTCTTTACTGAAGGGTACTTGTGGCTCTCTACATCTGAGAGGGACAATAATGATATGTAATCTATAACAGTTTTGGACATTTACCAGATATCATTTTTTTGTAATCCAGAATTATTTAAGCTCAAAGAGAACATTCCAAAAACTAGAACATCTTTTTCTGCAATTTCAAGAAGTTATTTTTTTTTTCATAAAATTTTGTTATCATTTGTACCATAAATTAAAGCAATTGATATTTTCCTATGTTCAATCATTAATTGCTTCTAGCTCAACATGTAGCACCTGGAATAAATGACAGAGACCCAAAGGACCAATTCTATGAGGTTCTTATTGATAAATTATAAATTAGCAATAGCCCTTAGACTTAAATACCACATCACAGTGCTTTACAGCCCTCTAAGCAGTTTACAGAGTTAGCATATTTCCCCCAACAATGTGGGTACTCATTTTATCAACCTCAAAAGGGTGGAAGATTGATTCAACCTTCAGCCAGTAAGAATCAAACTGCAGGTAGCTGGAAGTCAGCAGAAGTAGCCTGCAGTACTGTATTCTAACCACTGCACCACCACGGCTCAGTGTATCCATTCAGATTGTAAACTGTCATACAATTCTTCTATAGTATCTTTGGGTATTATGGGTATTATGGGTGACCTGAGGAAAAGTCTTGTGGAAAACAAAAAGATCACAACTTGTTTCATGGAGATGGAAGCCATTTTGTAAATCAGTGCTCCATCAAATAATACGTTATTTCAAAATTTATAACAACCCAGATTTAGTTGTTTTGGTCATCCTTCAGGTTCATGGACATCTGTGAGAGAGTTCTCTTCACCATCTAATTTTAAAAGCTGAAAACTTAAAATGGTGAATTGCTATTGTACAATGGCAACAAACGAGTTAATGTGTTATCATCATCTAATGAATATGTAGTGTCTGTTTAGTGTAGTTAAGGCACCAGGGGAGAAACCAGGAAACCATGAGTTCTAGGCCCACTTGAAGTACAAAATCGACTGGGTGAACCTGGTTCAGTCAGGAAGGAGGCAATGGCAATCCATTTTTGAAATCTTGCCAAGGAAACTGCAGAGACTTATCCAGGCAGTAGCCAGGAGTAGCTCAGGGTCGAACTGTGGAGTCATTAGTGATATAGAGATACAAAAATGTGCTGTATTGGTATAAAAAAGAATTAACAAACTTAATGAAGGGGAATACTTAGAACAATTAAAACGGAGAATTCTAGTTTTGCTATTGTAAATTCTTCCCAAAAGGCTTCATAAAATAGAAGATAATAACCCCTAGGCTTATGCATAGTTTTTATCTGGTGTTTTGACTTTGTCCAATAACAGCTTCAGTGGTAATTTCAACTTATATTCAACCAGTAACTGCATATAACAAAATTTATGAATTTAAAATTATTGGGGAGAAGAGCACTGTAAGATTACAAGAACAAACAAATACAGTACTTCAGGGAGTGGGGGATTTAATATTAAAGGATTCTGAGACAAGGAAAATAGCAGTAATATTAATTGAGAAATATTATTCTCTGCATCTTTCCAAAATATGAAAGCTTACATCCCAAACCTTTGAATAAATATGTAATTTGTGTGTGGTGTTGCTAAATAGTGTGACACTACAGGTTGTTCTGAGTAAGGGCAGATGGCACGACAGATGATTAATAGTATATTCTCTCACTCAACTTCTGCAGTGCCAAATGCATTCCAGTGACTTGAAAGAAATTTAATGTCTGACCAGCTGCAATGGATTTAACAGAATTTATTATTTTTACAGCATTTGTTAGAACTATGAACTTCTAATAGTCATCAAAACCATATAACAGGACTTTTCTTTTTCCAGATTGGAGATACTATTAATCATATAAGCATGCATCAAAGAGGGAGACAAAAAAACAGCAGCTGTATCAGTATAAACAGGGTGCAGCTGCAACAGAATCTACAGCAGAATTCAAATTGATAGTAGATCCTTTCTAAAACTCATATTTGAGTTAGTGTAGCTTGAGCACTGCACTGAGAAGAATATCAAAAAGATGTCAGCTACAGAATCATTTGAGTCATGGGCTAACCAATTCCATTTATATAAGAAAGTGTTTGGAATTAAATTTCCTAAGGTTGGGCCTGCTAATAAAACTTGTTTTAGTACAACTGAAGATTCATCTGCTTCAGTCCACAGAAAGGTTCTTTCATGAACAGTTAAAATCATCCAGCAGTTTGCCAGGTTGACATAAGTGAGAATCCATTATGTACAGTAACCACACATATCAGAAAAGAGCAAATTTGTGAGGTTGTGATTGGATGAAGAATCTGCAATAGCACCTGGTGCAAGATGAAGAAATATAACATTGGCCAGAGAAAATTTCATGGCCAAGATATTTTATTTTCTCTAAACAAAATTGCAATGTAGATTTAGATTTAGAAGATTTTGCTAAATGCAGCAAGAAGATACACAAAGTTCTATTTGCACACTTCTTGTGAAGGTGAAGCAAGGAGAGATGTACTGACTAAAGAACTGAACCACTAGGAAAAGTAAAATTCTGAAAATCTAAGAATTTGAGAGAAAATGAAATTCTTCTGGCAAATATATTAAAAGTCTTTGTAAATAATCCTCGTTTAGCAATTGCCTTGTTTTAGCAACCTTTCATAGTTATGATGGTGATGAAAAAGTAACTTTACAACCAATCCTCACATTTATAACCTTTGCAGGTTTGTAAAGCAAAAGACAGCTGAAGCAAGATCATAAGCATTCTTGCATTTTCACTTAGTCACCACTTCGCTTAATGATTGAGTTGCCTTCCCAATTGTGGTTTCTAAACAATATTATGAATGGGGAGGTGCTACCCACTAATAGTTAATGATGTAGCATCTCCAAATCCAGAGGATCCCAGATATAGTCACTCGGTCTTGTCAAGATTCAGCCTGTTTCTCCCCTCAAGATCCACACAGGCCCCAAACCTTGGATTGCAGCAGGAAGTCTGCCTGATGTTGAGAAGTGCAGCTGGATATCATCAGCGTATTGGTGGTGCCTGATTCCAAACTGACAAATAACCTCAGTCAGAAGTTTCATGGTAAACAGAAGGGGAGAGGAGAGAGCATGAAACCCTGGGGCACACCAAAGGGATGGCCAACGGGCATGATCTCTCTCCATCTTATTTCAACAACTTATTTCAAGCTTCATCTTTCCATATACAGGTGAAACTTGAAAAATTAGAATATCGTGCAAAAGTTCATTTATTTCAGTAATGCAACTTAAAAGGTGAACCTAATCTATGAGATAGACTCATTACATACAAAGCAAGATAGTTCAAACCGTGATGTGTCATAATTGAGATGAAAACCCCAAATCCACAATCTCAGAAAATTAGAATATTGTGAAATGGTTCAATATTCTAGGCTCAAAGTGTCCCACTCTAATCAGCTAATTAAGCCATAACACCTGCAAAGGGTTCCTGAGCCTTTAAATGGTCTCTCAGTCAGGTTCAGTAGGAATCACAATCATGGGAAAGACTGCTGACCTGACAGTTGTGCAGAAAACCATAATTGATACCCTCCATAAGGAGGGAAAGCTTCAAAAGGTAATTGCAAATGAAGTTGGATGTTCCCAAAGTGCTGTATCAAAGCACATTAATAGAAAGTTATGTGGAAGGGAAAAGTGTGGAAGAAAGGTGCACAAGTAGCAGGGATGACCGAAGCCTGGAGAGGATTATCAGGAAAAGGCCATTCAAAAGTGTTGGGGACTTTCGGGCTTCTGGTTTGAGCTTCTTGAATGACAGACCGAAATCTGCGATCGTACACAGTGTCGATCTGTGCTCGCCATTGGAGTGCCCTGAGCCAGCTCGTTTTGGGGCTAAGCCACCCCATAGAGGTGGGGAGACTGCCAGTGGGGTCAAGGAGAGTCGCACCTCTCCTCCCCAGCTGGCCATTACTCCTTTTCCCGAAGGCAGTTGCAGCGGTGGCCAGAAATGGCCACCTCGGAGTTTCCGGTCTTGCACGGCTTCGGGAGCGGCAGGAATTCGCGTCTCTGCGATCCCTGCCGCGTTCGCTGCCAAGGTGCCCCCGATCTAAATAGGTCTGGGGGCTATGGCTGCCTTGTAGAGGCAGTCGAAGAGAGAGGGTATCCGGACAGAGGTTTGGGGGTAACGCAGACCTTCTTTCCAGCCGGAATAACCCCTTTTTCCTGAGGTGGATGAGCGGCGGTCAGCAATGGCCGCCTCAAAGAAGCCAGCAGCCGGGTAAGATTCGTGCTGGAGGAAGAGGGAAGAGCTGTGGAAGTTGCTTCTGACTGGGATAAAGCTAAGAGAGAGTTCCTGTAACCTCGAAGGCTGCTAAGGATACTTTGTTTCAAGAAAGAGATACAAGCTGCGAACATTTCAAAAGAGTAAGTTTTTTTTTTTCTTCCTTTCACTCTCCTCCCTAACGTGACAGCAGTGGAACTATAAGTGAAATCCGGGAATTTGTTCTGGAGGTAAATAAATATTGAAGGAGCAAGGATTTCAGAATATTCAAAGGGGGAAAAAAAGAAGAAGATTTTTTTTTTTGGCTGTGAGTGGGAAGGGAGAGGAAAAAATAAATAAAAATTGGAGCAACCTGAAAATAAGGAGAAGACTGCCTAAAACTTTAAAGAGTTAATTTTAAAGAGCTATTAAACAGCAATAAGAGTTTCTAAAGATACATTTTAAAGAGAACTTTGTGATCAAACTTTATCCCAAAAAGAGAAAGTGGAAAAAGAGAAAGCATTAAAAAGAATCAGCTGATTGGACTGTTTGATGACTTTGGATTTTATGAGAATTATCTCAGACTAAAAAGCACTTGGGTGGTTGTTTTGGAAAAAAATTTCTCTGTACAATGGCATCAGTTGTGGATGAACTAGAACTTATACATCAAAAATATGAAAGAGA